AATTAAAATAAACATACAGAATAGAAACATTAAATATTTAACAAGTGACTAGCTGACAACTTTTCGTCTTTGCTATTTTAGACACATTGTGAGCTATTTATTTCAAAAGTGAATCCTAATATTCATTGACAGTTTTTCAAGAAACGCGAAAAACTATATTTCCTAATCCGGTTCAATTGTAATATCATTGAGAAAAAATTGAGAAATGCTTTATTTGTGCAACATATTACTTATGTTATATAACATATTACTTAAACAACTCCTAAAAGAACGTGATTGTATTCCTCTAAAAACCAGACAGCTCCTTGTAACCTCGCTTATATTCGCCCACTTCGACTACGGCTGTTTGGTCTATGGAGGGCTACCTCCCAGGCTAGAAATGGGACTGAAGACTCATGAACTGTTTCATAAGATACATCTTCGGAAGTCCAGATGTTCACATGTTTCACTCTAGTACACCGAGTCGAAGTGGCTTTATCCTACTTCCATAATTCCTCCTTGGTGTTTCCAAGTCTTCAGATCAAAAAAACACTCCCTACATCCTGGAACTCCTTACTCTACGTTCCTCTATCCACTCTCTTAATATCAGGTCTCAACCTGTAGACTTATATACGCCCTCCCATAAAACTTCCTCTTTCAGCAAATCCTTCGTCATTCGTGCTGCTTCCTTGTGGAACTCTCTTTCTATATGCATACGTCAATCCTCGTAGACAAATTCCTTCAAACAACTCCTGTTCCAACACCTACTCCACATTCAAACTTCCGCAAACATGTAAAATTACTTGCATCTTGTACACTGTCTAATTTCAATCTGCTGCAAAATTTCAATAACAATTAACAGTTAATTGGTTTGTATTTTTATTATTCTAAGTCAGACTAAGACTCATAAATTTGTAACTCTGTTATTATTCTTAGGAGAGAGTAGACACAAAATATAATTATTTTTTCATTTCATTTCATATTTCCGAAAATCACTGATTATTCCAGTAGTCATTAAAAAAAATGACATTTAAATAGGATCCATTTTGGAAAGAAATAAACTTCAAGGGCCGTTTTTGATTAAAAAGAAAATAGGTTTATTGAGATCATTGAGAAAAATAGGTTTTAATGAGCAATTATGGTGTATGATTGAGGGGAGGGGGAGGGAGGAGGAAGAGATAAAATTGTTCTAATTTTTATTGTACCTATCTCAATTCCCATAAAGATCCATTAGGCTTCACTTTGGAAATAAATGACTCATGTGTTTCTTTTGTTCATTTAAATGATATACAAAATAACGATTAAAAAAAATAATAATAAAAGCCAGCATAATTCATAAATTTGTCTCAGTGTCTAGTATTGATGAATAAAAGCGTGAAGGGATTTCGATCTTTTCGTTTTAATTTCACTCGTCTGTATTATTATGGGTTACCCACTGTTCACTTATCGGCGGACCAACATCCATTTTACCAATTACACAACTTTTTATTTAATTTTACTACTCGTTTATCAAATTGTATAACTTTAATTTACATGTATTCTGTAGTTCAGATTGCATTATTTTTTTACTTTCGCTTACCTATATATGTAATACATAGAAAGGGAAAGTATTGCGATCGTGAAAATTTTTGAATCGGAGTGTTCGACAGAACTCGACGGACACGTTTTGAGGTCTCCTGAGTTTAAATAATTCCGTCTAAAAATCCCGCAATATGGTCTGTGTGATCAGCCTACCTCTAAAACGAAAAGTCAAACGGAACCGATATTACGCATTTAAGATAGGTTATGCCTTGGATGTTACAGAAACTTTTTCGTTAAAATCGACTAACCGGAAGTGACATGTTATATCAACGGTGAAACACATTTTTACAATTTTCTCAAAAATGGCTCTAACGATTTTGATTAATTAGATGTACCATTGTATAATTAAGTGGTCTTTAATATCATTTAGGTCTTATCCCTATCGATGTCACTTTACAGGGCTTAAATGGCCAATGTTCATATACGTCTTCCTCTAAAGAACATCTGGTATGGTTTATTAAAAAAAATGAACTCTCTTTTATTGACACTCACTATAAAAATGGCTAGATTTGAAGTTTGAAAGAATATAATAATTGGAAAATGGAGAAAAAAAGAAAAATGCTTATCCAGGTTGAAAATGAATCTCCGGAAATACTAGTCAGAAGGTATACCTATAATATATCGTTGGAAAGCGAAGAATTTTAGAAAAAACAATATCTAATATAGAAAGCCGTACAAAGTAATAGAGAGTGACGAAAAATTATAAATTATAATTTGAGAAAACTAATATTATTTAACGGAAATCACATGTTTTCAAGGAAATTAAATGAAGTTTACTAACTAAATGTAAACTTATTTTAAGGATAAGAAAAAAGTATTTAAAATTCACCTAATCAAGGCAATGACATTGTTAAAAAAACTATTTCATAGCACTTATATCAATTAAAGTTAAACTTTTTTTAAGTTGGAAAAAAGGTTAAAAAACCTTAAATACATTTACTGTTTAATAATAGTTTAATAATTCTAGATCTGATATTATATTTAAATAATTAAGAATCAACGTCCGTTTATACCGAAAAAGCTAAAGCTATAGCTCTGTTAAAAGTGTACTTCAAAAAGTTTATAATTGCTCAACATTGCCAGAAAATAATATCTATTCAAAGTAGAGAGGTAGGTGAAAGTTGTGTGATGGACGCACCAGATTTGTCAATATGGTGTAAGCAGGAAGAAAAAAGAAATTTCAAGCCTTGAAGCATCTTAATTTGTTAAGATTGAAAAACAAAATATTACACAGTAATTAAAAACTTTTATCTAATAGAGAGAACCCCAGAGTTTAATATGCTCAGAAAAATTCACGCTCTCCAATTAGGGTACCGCCGCACGATTGATGAAATTTGATTAAACTTAGGTTAGTTATTTACTATGGAATGCTAATTGAATACAATTGTTTTTACACAAATTTCTGTTTCCAATAAAAATAACTTAATATGATTACAAAGATGGCATGATGCCATAAGGGTTTTTTTACTTAACAATTATTAACTGATTGAGATTATATCAATTTCTCAGAACCAAATAAGTAAATATTAGCCAATATTGGACGTTCGAGACATAAGATAAGAAGCGGGATTGGTATAAATAATGAGCCACGAGAGGAGTGCTCCATCTTCTGCAGTAGCCATCATGAAGTCCTGTTACCTCTTCCTGGTCCTGTCCGTGGCTGTAGTCAGCTCCAAAGTCATCGACATCAACTGGGCTGTCGATCTTGGCTTAGCTAAGACCAACCATTACCTCAGGCAGCACAGGTTAACCAATATTCATATACCTCAGGGTTCTTTCGGTTCACATGTAAGTATTTACTATATTTCAACATAATAAATTACAATAATTAATTAAAAATTACCTTAAGCTTTGCTATTATTTATACTTTCAGTTATTTATGCGTGAAATACATAGAAACAGAAAGTAGTTCGGTCATGAAAAATTTTAATCCCGCGTTTTCAACAGAAATGCACGTCCCCTTAAAAAGAATAGTGTGAGTGCGTGTAACAACTTAGGTCAAAAAAGGAAAAATCAAAATAAGGAAATTACTTATTTAAGGCATATGCCTGAAATCTAACAGCAACTTTTATTTAATCGATTCCATACATTTTCCCAACTTTGCGTCCTCACTACCGAAGGTTGGGAAGCTTTATATTCTTGCACGATGTTTCATCAGAAAAAAGTTCGTGCTCAAAACCGAAAATTTCTTCAGGCATTTCATATTCTAGTCATTTAGGGACAAGTCTGGTTCCATGCCTATCTTTAGTCATGTGACAGGCATATCACCTATTGCTGTTAATCAGATTTTGATGAAATTTTTAGTGATTATGTGTGTTGATGTCTCTTAGGCCCGTCTACGTGGGGGAGAGGAGGGGTTTAAGTGGAAAGCTCCCCTTGTAGATCAAAATAGTAAAATATTGTATATGTGGTAATTTTGCAGAGTGAATTGAAACAATAAAAATAAATTATTTCAATTTTTTTTTTTAAACTAAAACAAATTTTAAAAAAATACTAAAGAAAATAGGGTAGAGAAGATGTTTCCAATATCAATATTATATTAAAAATCGCTTAATTTTACACTAAGATAAGCTATTTAATCAAAATCATTAGAGCCGTTTTGGAGACAATTAAAAAAAAAATGTAAAAACTCGATGATATAAAACACAGCTCCAGTTGACCAATTTTGAGCAAAAAGTTGCTGTAACATTCCAGGCATTAAACTCTAAATACGCAATTTCAGTTTCTAACGACTTTACGTTTTTGAGCTAAACTGTTCACATGCACACATATATTTACACATTCCATTTTGTGGAATCTAGTGATTTGAACTCAGTGGACCTTAAAACGTGTATTTCTGTTAAAAACTAGGATTCGATAATTTTCAAGATCGCAATATTTTTCCATAACCAGGTATATATTTCATGTATAGGTAACTGAAAGTAAAAGTCACAACATCCCTGTTCATGTATTATTTTCTTATGAATTTTTTAGTCAATGAAATAATAAACCATACAAATAAATAAACTCGGGACATAAAAAAAAAAGACAATAGAATTATTATAAAATCCAATGTTTTTTAATTATTTCCAACATGATTTTAATTATTTGTTTTGTTATAACTGATTATCGCTTAGGGGTAGGGAAATGTATTTTTCTCTCTATGTTTGTGTTTCAAAAATAGCTTATTCATTTAGGTCTGAAATTGGACCAACTTTGCTGGATAATATATAAATGATCTTGTATAAATTCCATAAACTTTTATTAAAACTTATAAAAATTAATGTAATTGTTTTTAATTTAGAGGCTGAAAAATGAGGCAAGCAGTAAACATATAATATTAGGGGTTATATTAAACGGTCTGTGTTGTGTGTGCTTGTTTTACATTATTTAGTAAGAAATTACATTAATTATTATTATTGATATTATTAATTGTAATAAAACTTTATATTATATTTCAGGTATCATTTTCTGATTCTGATGTACTTGGCCTCGACTCCTTGAAGAGGACAGGCAACTGCACCATTGAGGTCGCTGGTGAAAATTCTACATTTAACTACCATTACGGATTAGGTTTCTTCCAACAATCATTCAAATACTTGAAGATTAACGATCAAGGCATGTCAGCAAGCTACAGGATCAGAGACAATTCAGTCCATCTCCGTTATACTGTTCATAACATCGGCCAAAAGACTGGCAGTTGCTTCGTCACTGTCCACGAAATGTCCTACGAGAGATTGGCGAAAATAGATTTCCAAGCTTCTAGGCCTGAATACGATGGAATTGACCTCGAAGAATACTTTGGGAAGGAGATAGTTCCATTCTTGAACAGTAAGATCGATAAGGGATCAGTAGAAGAAGTTTGGCAAGAATTCTTGTGCCAACAACCACACCTGCAAATTTCTGAAAACATGTCATTAATTCATCGTACTATTTTAGAACAGATAGGATTCCCATTTCAGCAATAAAGGATTTGATGAATTACTGTGAATAATGTTTAAAGTATATAACAACTACTTAAAAATATATATATATATATATTCTTATAAATCTTTCCATTATTAAACATTATACCCTTCCTCTGTATTATACTTATCTTTTAATATAAATAACCAACATTACACAATTATTATATCATTGTTGATTGGAATTTATACCAATTAATGTATTATACATCTAGAAAATGGTCTTTGTGTGAGAGAACAGATTAACTCGAAAATGAAAAGACGTATGAAGCTGATATTGTGTATTTAAGGTATGCAAATGATTGTCACTTTATATCATCGATTTTAAACATTTTTAAAATTTTCTAAAAAAAACAGGTCTAACAATTTTGTTTAAACTTAGTATATCAATGTATAATTGAATAGTAATTAGTATCAGCTAGATCTTATTCTCATTGATGTCTCTTAACAGAGCTTTAATACTTAATATTAGAAATTTCTTCCTCTAAAGTAGCTTTTATTTGGTTTATTTAAAGTATCTCATTGTCAATATCAATAAAAAATAGCAAAATATAAACTATGAAATGATTGACTAAAGGAAGAAAAAAGAGTAAACGTTTTTTGAAGTTGAAAATGAATTTCTGGAAATAATGGTCAGAATATATAAGTATAATACATCGTTGGCAAGTTGAAGATTTAAAAAATATAATATTCAACATATAAAGTTGCAGAAGGTAAAAGATGTTGATGCCTAAAAATTATAAATAATATTTTATAAAATGTAATATTATTTAACAGAAACTAAATGTTTTTAATGATTAAATGAATTTTCATAACTAAATGTAAACTTTTTTAAACAAAATTATTTTTAAGTTCTAAAAATAACTATATATAACCCACCGAATCAAGGCAATGACATTGTTAAAAAACTATTTTATTGTAATGGTGTGAAGGAAGAAGTGAAATATAAAAATATTTGATGAATGAGTAAAACATTTGTTTATAACCTTAAATACATTCACTGAAGTTTAATAACTTTAGATCTAATAATATATTTAAATAATTCGATGTTTATCGTTGGTTAATTTTGAAAAATCATCCAGTAACATTTTAGAAAATTAAATTAGTGAATAATTTGATGACTTTTCCCTCTGTGAAATCACAACATAATCCACTTACAATATGTGTTACAACTTTTGATTTAGCGATAGTAGGCAATGAAAACCTCATTGCAAATCAATTTTAGTAAATTTTATAAGATGAAAAATAAGGGTACTACTGTACAAGTATCACTTTGATAGCTAGGACAAGATTTCTTGATCACACCATAAATGGAATCCTGATTGGTAAAGTGTCTCTGAAAGTAGAGGAAAGTGACTGAATCGTCTCTTAAGATCCCGACCTCAACTGAAGGACCCATTGTGATGTATTCCAGTGGCGAGCGGGAGTCGTAAGTGCCAACAATGTCACATAAATGGGAATATGGTTGAATTCAAGATGTATTTTTTTAAAGTTAATCCTATTGCTGTTATCTGTAGGAAAATATTCTATATATAACACGGTCAATTTTTTAAAATCAATTTAATAAAACAGTGTTAACAAAAACATCTGTACAATAGGTATATAAAATGATGTCATATAATAACAATAAACACTTTACAGTTAATAAATTACAATATTTAAACTATACGAGGAAAAACCCAAAAATGGATGTATTTCTCTTTAATTTATAATACAGTCTTTAGTTGCCATATTATTTTATCTCTTCGACATATGTGGCAGGGAAAATTCCTACAACTCCATTCAATTCACCAAGCCACCAACCATCAGGTTGCTTGTCATGAATATTGATAATGTCACCTGAAACAAATATAAAATAATTAATTTTTGTAAAGAAAATGAAATTAAAACTAAAATGAAATTATAATGATAATGAATGAATAAATGAAAAAAATATTTTTTTCTGAGACTAAAGTCCCCTAAGAATAATAATAACATGGTACAAAGCATAAGTCCATTAGTCTGGTTTGACAGAACACAAAAGAGGCCATTTGAATGTTAATTTCAATTGCTACCACAATCATACCTGAATAACAGTAGTCAACACTTTAACACTAGTACATTTTATATGGTTTATATGATACAAAGAAAAAGTAAATAAATAAATGAAATAAAATCAAATGAAACATGTCGATAACTTGTTAGTAAATAAGTATTGAAGTGGTACTGAAGTTTGAAAATGAAGTAGCAGGTGGAATAAGAGTTGTTTGAAGGAATTTAAGGATGAGGACTGCATGGTGATGAGTAAAGAATTCCAGAAGGAGAAGTACGAATGACGAGAGGATTTGCTGAAGGATGTAGTTTTATGAGAAGGGATATATAAATCAATAGGTTGAGATTTGGTATTAAGAGAGTGGATAGAGAAACATAGATAACAAGGCCTTGAACAACGTTGAAAACATCAGATTTATAAATGATTGGATGGAATGGAGACTAATCAACACTGGATTGCATTCCCATTTGTTATGAAATAAGCTAGGCTTGAAATTTTGTACATTCTAATAACAGTGACAGTTAGCTAAAAAAATATGGTTGTTAAAAGTTTTACATGGTTTTCTAATGAATTCCTTTCTAATTACTTTTAAAAATGCTCTGATTATCATTTCTTTACTTCAATGTATACTGTGAAAGTTTCAGGCCTGTAAGAAACCTGTACACCAAGTTTAATAAAAATTACTCAAATTCTTCTAAAGTAGTGATAAAAATATCTATTCCAATAATAGCTGAAAGCTGGAGAAGGTGTTAGAATGCTGATTTACTTGAACATTACTTATTTTTAATATATATTTTTTTAAAAAAGGAGGGAAGAGTTGGTACAGGACTCAGGACTTATGGATCAAGCAACATCGAAAGGTACTTCACACTGTGCTGTGGTAAAAGAGGGAAATCCATGAAAGAGAGGGAGCCACTTATTTTAGTTTACATTTATGCTCATTTTCACACGATATCACATTTTTCTGTGCATAGAAATCAAAGTGATACTCTTTTTCTTGAGACTAATTTTTTTTTTTTTTTTTTTTTTTTTTTTTTTTTTTTTTTTTTTTTTTTAATCAATATCTTGCCAGTACACAAATTCTAAATTACTTATAGAAAGTTTTGCGTCTGTTAATTTAAAAAAAAGGAATATGGTAAATTTTTTAAATAATTTAATGTAACTTAGAAAGGAGAATATATATATTAATAAAATATGCTTTATAAATTTAAATATTACCAAACAATTTTCAAGTACCTGGGTTGAGGCTTAGTTCATCGTAAAGATTTGCTGTATAGTTATATAGAGCTTTGCATCTGGTGGGGCCGTTTCCCTCGATTCTCGCTTACAGACTCATAATCCTTTTCACTTCCTTGGCTTGAAAACTCATCTGTAAAATTATATAAATTTAATAAGTAATTTATAAAATAAATACACGAGAACATCTCAATATTTGCAGAACAATGATTAATTTATAGTAAGCAGTATTATACTAAAAATACTCTGGAGTTCCAAGTATTTCACTCAAATTTGATCATGATTTGAAATGTCATCACTACTTCAGTTAATTATTTATTATCAAGTGAAGTGGTAATTAAATTCTTTGATACTCATAAAGAGTAAGTATTTGAGTAAAATACTCAGTATTACAAGATAAACAATTATAGAGAACTAAAAAATAGAAAGATAAAAATTGATACAGTGGTCAAAGGGCAAAATTCATATCAGACAAAAATAATTATATTATCTTCAATTAATGATGCTTCTAGGTTTGAACTGATAAAAAACACAAAATATAATGTTATATTTTGTTAATAATATAAACATACCAAAGTCTGAATCAGGTTGGACAGAGGTTCCATCAGCTGTACCACGGTCAACCAAATCAGTTATTTCAGTTTCACTGTGAATCCATGGAGGTACCTAAAATAATGTAAATCACAAAATTTAAAAAAAGAAAAGTTTTTTTTTATAGTGATTGAGGTACCATAACTTGGGATTACTTGGACCCAATCCAAAAAACGGAGCTGGAATGAGGAAAAGTGCCTTAGGATATAGCTAGAGCTGCTAACTGATGGACAATCTAAATGAAATATAAAACCTTTTATGGTTTGAGCCCAAGTGACCTGCTTCTGGGTCTTTATAGCCCCAATTTAGAGATATTGACTTTATAGTATTCTATAACTGAGGTTCACTGGTTCTGTAATTTACCTTCAACACAGATTGTTGATAACCCTGCCTATCTCTTGAAACATGAATGTGGTCAGCTAATGGATGGCTGGGTCGAGGTCTTCCTTCGAGTTCTGAAAGGACGCATAATACTTTGTACCTTGCTGCTTCAAGATATGTCAGCATTGACCTCATCTAGAACAATAAAATATAAGATATCATTTTAAAACTAAGTAATAAGTATACAATATTATAAAACACATGGAATAATATTATAAAATGTATAAAACATACATGATGTAGTTTATCCTGAACGTTTTGCTGAGAATCTTCTGAAGCAAAGGTAGGTGTTCTCTTTAATGCAACAGCAAGATTTTCCACACCTGCTTTACCCCGCCTTTCTCGTTCTAAATCCGATCTTATGAGATCCAACAGCTTAATCAAAGCCTTAAATATTCAAAAACTATACTTATCATTTAAACAAAATATAATAGTTTCAAATAAATATTAACTCATTACTGTATCTATTTTATTTAATCTGATTAAAAAATAAACAGTAGCACAATTAGGAGAATAGAACAAAACAACTATTTCTATTAAAACCACTTGTCTACATATATCTTTCTCTGTATATAGGTATGCTGTAATTAAAAACATTAAATGAAGTACCTGTTTTCTCCTTTCACGGTTCATGGCTAATGTTGTGTGTTCTGGGTAAAAATCTGGTAATATTTGTTCTTGTGAAGGTTCGGTAGCAGATTTAAGGCTAATCACAGTCTCTAAATCCCTCGTGAGATCACAACCATTAATTGGTTCTGCTAGACGATCAGTTATCTGATATAAAAACGTATGAGAATATTAAAGATGACAAAAACAAGGATAACTAAAGCAAGAGTACCCAACCTTTTTCTATCTGAGGGCACATATATAGATTAATAGTCAGGCAGCAGGCACCAATTTATTTGGGGTTTTCCTATATTTTTCACTGTTTTTGTTAATAATTCCTTGTTATTGTTAATAATAATGAAAAAGAATAATTTTACTATATATAAAAGTATTGCTTATATATTTATATAAAATAAATAGTTATTTTATAATATATTAAAATTGTTCACAAAATTCATTATACAAAATATAAATTCTAAAGATAATGTGATATTTGCACAGCACTTCACTGGTCAGTGCTTCATAATTTGAAAAATATGATTGTTTGATACAATAAAATAAGAGACAGGTATACGATACATTTAATGCATAATTATAAATTTGTAATTCAGTTTTCGTTTTTGAATAAAATATAAAAAAAAAAAAGAAAAGGGGAAAAAATAATGGAAATTGAGTTACAAATATTATTAAAGTGCCAAGATACAAATCGATATTTTCAAAGTAATACAATTATTGTTCCAATTAACTACTTATTAGATTATAATTTGAAAAAAATTAGGCAGTTATCGGTTCCTATGGTGATTGCTTTTATAGGTTAGATCAGGCGGATACAATTGTGCCTGTCAGTACATGTGACTTCAAACAGAAAAAATGGTGTCTGCGAACACAGATTTGGGACCTCTCAACTAAAGATTAATTGGTTTCAATGGAATATTTGATATTTATGCCTGCGCAATATTAGCAAACTTACATGAGTTGTTTTAGGTCCTATGTGTGTAAAATGAGATAAATAAGAATTCGCTAGATCCTTTAAACCTCTCAATCTTTCTTCTTCAAGAACCTATAAAAGAGGAAAGGTAAATATTTAAAAACAAGAAAAATTAATACTGATAATAAATACTTTTAATATAAGTAAAAAAAAAGAAAGAAGTAAAATACATATAAAGAGTCAAGTGAATCGAATCTTTGTGATTTAAGAAGATATAATAGTTTATTTTAGAACTGATTCTTTTTTAATAACACACATGGAGTATTTTAAATAAAGTTTAGTCAGGCTAAAGAGCTTTAGTGAATCATAGATAAACATTAGAAACCATTAAATTATGATAAAATAAAAATAACCCATATGTTAAATAAATAAGGAGGTTTGATGCTGATAGAATCAACTACCATTATCTAAATACCTTCTTCCAGTGACTCTGACCTATTAAAAATAAATTAACAAGATCAAACCTAACATGATTATCCTATTTAGAACTTGGCCTACCATTTGGACATCTATTCATTACTTCAAAACTGATAAAATTCTTTATCCCACACAACGACTTTACATGCCCAATTTAACTTGCATGCCGCAATTATTATTTTAATTATATTTACCAGGTGCCAGTCAAGCAGTTCTTCGTTAAACAACTTTCAGATATTTTAGTTAACTTATCTTTTGGTCAGGCCAATCATTCTATAGGGTTCTTAAATATTAAAAACCTTAAGACAATGTTCTTATCTTTACATAAAGCAATAGGAAGTCTTGAGTAACAATAGTCTTCAAAATTTCCACTTTCAGGTTTGTATACAGAAACATGGAATGAGTTGTATAAAATTGAATTGTAAAAAAAAAAAAAAAAGTCCCCAGAGATTTGGTCCATGGATGGTCTGTTACAGGGAATGAAATATAGGTTGGTCGTCGGTCCTCATGGACCTGCTGACTCTGAGCAATCATAGTCCATGGATCTAGATTTGTCACTGTCCTTCAACTCGAGTGAATAGGTAGGAAGGACACTGTTAGATTGGTCCCAAGAGGGATTGGCTCTGAAGCTAAAGGTTACTTAACTATGGGAGACCATGATTCTTAAGAATGTGAATTTTGGTGACCCCCTTCAGGTTACCTTTTGATAGAAACTAATTTCATCATTCAGAAGAACAAGAAAAAGGCTATTAGAATCAACTTTAAATTTAATTTTGATTTTAGTGACACATCTTATGTATATGGACATGAGGTATTTTAAAGACCTGATATTCATCAAAAACAAAAAACTACCTGAAAACAATGGCTCCCTCGAAGAACCGCTGATTCCCATTCCAATCTTGACCGTTCGGCACGTAGACAGACACTATAATATTCTATATCTGCCTTTTTTACACATTCTTCGGCTTTTTTTCTTTTGGTTTCCATCTGAAAATAAAAATAAAACATAAAATAAAAATTTCATACTAATATTAACTCTTAATTTTTTCTGTGAAATGAAATACCAAACAAAAATAAGTAACTAAGCAACATTGAAACTGGTCAAGAGAAAGAACAGCTATAATATGGGAACTAAGATTTAAAGAACTTCTGTAATTTGATTTTATATTCCAATTATAGTAAGTAAATAAATTGTAATGAGAAATTGAAAAATATCAATAAACAATAAAACAAATTAAATAATTATATATTGTGTATACATCATACAAATTCAGTTAGACCAATGAAATTTTAATGTCATTTAAACCAAAGATGTGGTCCTGAAATTGAATTTCAAAATGAAGAAAAAATCCTTGACCGATGAGCTTATCCACTTCCATAACAATATGAAGGCAAATAAAATAACAAAAACAATGTATATTCACTTGGAGTCAAGGGTGGAGAATTCATTTCTAAAATTTATCTGAAATTGATAAACAGATTAATTATAAATGCCTGATAATTATAGTTTGAAATCTAGAATAATTGAAATTTATGTAATATAACAGTCATACATTTTCAAATGTTGGTAGTACACATTATTTTTATCATTAAAATTTCATTAACAAAAAAAAATTGTAGTGAGTACCTTAGCTGTTTCCTTTTCAGGGGTAACTTTGGTAGGTATATGAAGTGAACTTGAACTGAGCCTTGTTCTTTGCTCACTAACTGAGTCCCGCAACTTCTCATTTTCTCTTGCACAGGTAAAGCTACTTTTTTTAGCCTTAGTTTCTGCTGCTCTCCATTCAGCGAGGTTTTTCCCTGGAGATAAATTTTTTTATTGTACCAAGAAAAGCACAAAATAATACATCTCTTTAATTAAAGTTATTATTATGTAGTAATTGTTACACAGGATACATATGCAGAAAAAAAATATTATGCAAACAAATTTAAATTTTTTAGCAACTTTCATTAACCCATACTTTGGAAACATCTAAAAAAGAATTCCTAAATAAAAAAAGTAATTTTGACTGAATGATTTTACTTGTAAAAGTTAAATAAATTATATATACATATTGACTTTATTAAGCAAAATAAATATATAAGTAGATATTTAAATAAGCAAAGTCATTCTGTCAAAATTACTTTATATATACTATAAAACGGGATGTTACACCTAAGTAATAAAATTACTCCAAAACTAGAATAATTTCTCTGATCACATAGGCAAAAATTAATGGGCTATTGATTTAGGAATGGTTTCTCTATAAAACAGGAAATAGTGCTCTATGAAACAGAAATGTTTTTCCTGGAAGTTGAGAACAAACAAGTAAATATTTTTGGAGTAATGTTACCCACCAAGGAGTTAAGTTCGCCCATTTTACGGTATATATATGTACCATTTTTACTTATCTGTAGTTATAATTATCATGAATTTAAATTGATAAACATCTGAAAATCTTTTTGTTAAGTTCATTTTTTATATATGAGGTAAAATAATAATTCAAGAATTTCAAAAAATGAGGGCACAAATAACAAATGAGTTCTTTAGGATATCTGTTTTATGGGAGTAGTATATTATGACTATATTCCAAAACCTAATCAAATTTTTTTTTGTAAAATTTTGAATAAATCTTGAAGTTTGATGCAATTATGGTCTGTTGGTAGTTTTGAAAACAAAAAACTATGATAAGTTTTTAAGCTCCTTATTGGTTCTCAAAAGTACCAATAGATAACAAAAGGACCAAACTTTCTGTTCACTCAAAACTTTGATTAAAACAAAAAATGTTATTTGATTATTGAATTCAGATATTGAATTAAATAAGTAATCTAGAGAATGCAGGGTGAAGACAAGAACAAAGGATTGGTTTTCTTGGAAAAGGAAGTATTGCTTATTGTTAACTTAACTAACCACACCAAAAGAAATGAATAAAATATAGTAGTTATTTGGATACATTTTTTGTTGGATTTTTCACAACTTTTGATTGATGACTGAATACTTACGATCAGTCTTTGCATAAACTTATTAGATTTTGTTAGGCAGACATTATATTAATTTCAATTATCGAATAAAAACTTACCACTTTTGTCCACCGTTGTTTCTACAGATTTTCTAATCCTGTGCTGTGATTCAACAAGTTGCTTTAGAGGCCGCACTACTTCTTCAGACAAAGAAGAAGCAAAGTTTCTGCAACAAAGATAATATTTGATTAATTGCAGTAAATATCAAATTATTTAGAGTTGGAATTTTATAAAACCATGTAGATCAGATTTATTGCAATATTTTTTTATAACTTACAAAGATATATGATACACAAGTAATTTATAGTTTAAGATGATAAGAACTTTTGAAAAGAAAGCAAATTTGTAAGTACAGTATAGCCATATAACAGATAATATATATATATTTTATTTTATTTTTTTTACATTATTTCTAAACTATAATAACAATCAAACAAAAACAGATTAAATTATTAAACTTTATATGAGAAAGAGTTAATCGGGGGATGAAGTCAAGTAAATACTAAATTAAAATATAGTAATTATTTAATTACTAATTTTTTAATATAGTAATTAAATAATTACTCTATTTTAATTTAATATTTACTTGACCGCACCCCCCGATTAACTCCTTCTCGTATTATATCAACGGTCAACCATCTCTACATCATTATTGAACTTTATGGTGACATAGACCTAATTTTAATATATGAAACATAAAAATACTAACATCTTTGTGGTATGATGAGTAGGTCTTAAAGTTGGTATATTAATTAATGTGAACTATTGCTTTTTAGACTTTTCTGATAACAATACCATTATGGGATACCATTCTGTCTTAAATTCTCTTATACATTAATCAGACTACCTGTGAGGAAATTAGCTGCTTTCTCAAGTATACCAAAATGAAGAAGCTGCAATGGATCATTACTAGAGACACAAAATTTGTTTAAAGTCAGCCTTGATTTGCATACTTTAGAACCATTAGTCTAGTCAGAGCCTAGGAAGAGGGGATGTATCCTTTACCAAGAGTCCTTCTCCAGAATTCTGGAGTTCTTAGAATCCTCAGAATTAGGGACCCCAAATTCATATGTCTGTTCTACTCGAAAATATTATATAATAAAGTTTTCTTTTCTTAACAATCGTTTGTCCTAATGTTTTGTGGAATATTATTTTTCAGTATTTGTGAAGAAGGTAATCTTCAAAATGACGAATCAATCATTGGTTTTAATAAAGTATTAAGAATAATATTTATTTTTAATACTTAAATGTTACAAAATAAAATACTTTCAAGAAAGAATATTGATATGAAAAAAGGAATAAAGTGTTGTTAAACTTAATAGGAGACTCATTTATAGTCCATTTGACTAGTGTGAGAAAGTGAGAAGCTTCCTCAGGATGGTAATAGTTGATTGTTCAAGGGTTTGCTTCCAGGCCAGTGGGTCAGCTAGTTAGCAGCAGCTCATTGTAAAAGTTTTGTCCTAACACAATTTTTATAAAACAATTAGGATGCCAAACAAATTGAATAATATCGAATTTCTGATAAAATATTACAATTGGGAATTATTATTACATTGTAATTTTAAAGTCTTTTAGAAAGGCAGTCACAACTTCGAATGTAACTTTTTCTTCCACACTACCTTCCTCAACTGCGCAGAAAAGGTGTTATCTGTTGGAATCTGGGTCCGTTAAGGTAGCGCAAAGAGCTTCCGTACGGTATTCAGTTTATCGCTCCTAGACCATCGCTTCCTAGACCACTTTCTTCGCTTAAATAGGGGATTAGATAGTGTACATGCGAGTGGTTTACGTGCCTCTCGCTACGGGAGAGCATTAATGACTATTACTAGCGTTGAAATATATACTAATTACTAAGAAAGAAAAATCAATAAGAGACTTAAATCATTCAATAGGATATCATTGGAACCTTCCAAGACTAAAAGTCCCTCAAATACCGGTAAATAACATCATAGACAACGTTTGACCAGCTCAGGTTGTTTCAGATTAAATCACAAAATTGAAGATTCATTGTTACAATTCGGCATTGTGTTACCACATAAATTTATCAGTTGACACATCTTTCTTCGGTCCACTAGCGGATCCAGGATTTAATTTTGGGGGGGGGGCTTCAGCCCGAAACCTTTTTTTTTTCATAAAAATAACGATAATTACTTTGGAAAACAGAAAAAGAAACTAACTACCTATATGAAATGGTGTTTAAGTTATTCCTTAAGTACTTTTAAATGTAATTACACGAACAATAATACTTTAAGAGGTATTTTTAAATATTTTTTTCCATAAAACATGGTTATATTTTTCCATTTTGGGGGGGGGGGCTTCACCCGAATGCCCCTCCCCGTAGATCCGCCCGTGCTTCGGTCTGAATGTTGTACATAATACTTTATTTTCAAAAACCTTATGACGTTGCTCATCCCTTGATGGAAGCGGCCATGTTTAGCATCCATAAAGCACCTCAGGTTGAATAATGGTTTTGTAAATTTTGATTTTTAAGTTTTGAGACAACAGGTGCGAGCTAAAAAGTTTCGTCACAGAAAAATAACAAGCATTTCCTGCCTTCAACCTAACCTTAATGTCCTTTTTAATTTCGTTTTTTCTGGTTATCGTAGACTTTCGATACCTAAACTTCTCTATGAGTTCTAACGTATTTCCATCTATATCAATATCACCGAAATTATTGACGTTTTTCAGCTAATCACATATTTATCTCGAGCTCCAGCTCTTTACCAGCTTTCATTAACGTTGCTGTATTGTGTATTTAGTTTTATACTTTGCGTATCTTCGCCGAACAGGAATAAAACACCAACAAAACTAAGCACGGATATCGTTTCACCCAGATTCAAATCTTTTTCAGTCCGCCACCTTCCTTATGATATGTCCTAATATTAACTTCAAATCGAAGGGTGACCTTCAAGATTTGCTGTATTTAAGAAATGATTATTGAAACATCGTTATTGAAATGAGTGGGTCTTTAGTTAAATTGATAAGATCTGTTAACTTTTGTCACATTTTAAAATATTCTAGTTCATGCAATTGATTGATGCAGGAGTGGGGTAGCTCAGTGGCAGGGCACTGAGATTCCAATGCCCAAGGCTCTGGATTCGAATCTCGGCTCATGGCCGAAAAATTATTTATACTGTTTTATCAGCCGTGGAGCGACCCTAGGATCTGGAGACCCTCCTGGAGCAAACCCAGCAAACCTGGACCAAACGAACTCGAAGATCTACAACACAATCCTCCTACCTATACCTGAGTCTGCGACTCGATTTTTCCATTTGTTCAATGTTTTTTACTGCGATAAAATACATATTTTTTTTAAGTTGTGAATAATTTAAATATGTAGACATTTTGAATTTACAAGTGTTTATTAAAGATTTTTTTTTAAATTATCGAATCGAAGGTTAATAATGGCTAACAAATGTATTAATATAGATAAGTCGTTTTAATAATAAAATAAATTACAATAAAACTAAATATATGTGCACTGTGAAAGAAAAGAGTACCGACCCAACATAAACAGTCTAGGTAAAGTAGAACAATTTTCTTATTTGGGATCCATAATTGAAAGTTATAGTAGAACAGAAACAGAAATCTAAAAAATAATCAAATGGAAAAAAAACAGTGGTATTGCTTAACTCTTTACTCTGGAGCAGCAAATTTTAATAAAAACCAAAAAGCTAATATACAAAGCTTTGGTGTAAAGTTTAATGCTACATCTGTATGGTTCGGAGATATGGCCCATCAGTATTACCCAGCGAAAAAAAATTATTTCCGTTGAATTGGATTTTTGGATGAAAGCAGCTACAATATCCGTGATCGAAAGGGTAAGAAATGTCACTCACTATAAGGTAGAGTAAAAAAAAATATCTTAGGCGTGATGGAAGAAAGGAGACTGAGGTGGTATGGCCATGTGAGACGAATGGGTGAAGATAGAATAGCAAAGATAATTACGGATTGGGATGCAGAGGATAGAAGGAGAGGAACATCCTCAGTTAGATGGAAGGATAGAGTGGTGGAATGTAGGAGGAGGATACGATGGACAGGATGAATGGATGGAGAGGGACCTGCTGAGGCAGGAGTTTGGCTGAAAATTTATTGAAAACAGTAATATAATCCATCCATATTACAGTCCATATATACCAGTTTGATTTATACACAGTTTGTCCGATAGAAGTCTACCCTTATAAGTGTTGTAGTTCTTTTGTACCTCCATTTCATGTGTATTTTGAAGTAAAAGAGTTATGTATCTTTTCTTTTTTACTATTCTATGTTTTGCCGAATAAAGATTTACAAAATTATTTACACCTAGATGTTTTTTATCCTCATTAGTGCTTAACAATTCCAGGAGAACACAAAATATAGTACTCCCTCCTTTCAGTACATATCCTACTCATGTTTCGGAAGAAATTCGTTCAATATTTTACTAATACTTTGAATAATAAGTTGACAATGTTTGCCTTGGTCGTCCGTTTAAGTTTGGTATACTTAATACGATTGTGATTGATTTGAGCAATAGAAATTGAAATCATTACTTATCAGATGATTTTGACGAAATTGCTTGCATTTCGTTTACGGTTAATGCAAACTGGGAAATTCATGGTAGAAGTCTGGAGTTCACAGTGATAAATACACACCTTACTAGTTCCTCCTAGCTCCTTAATAGCTACCAGTATAATACCAGATAGTCGTCCATAATTATTCCCTAATAAAGGCATTACAGTTGTATGTATGTTCAGTAGTTTTTTTTTTTTTTATCCTGTTATTGATATTTTCCTCAGGTAAGTGAAAACACATTTTATACATTTAGAAAAAAAACTTGTTGAAACACCGTTGATATGCTTTGTACAAAGGAGTCGGGCCATTACCTTATAAGTTGTTTTAATAACCCAGCCATTCGACTTTCTCAAGTGTCAACTGTTGGGAAACTTCTCGACGCACATGTGTCGAAACTGCATCACGTCCTCGGTTCTGCAATAACGGTCTCCAACATTTTTTTAAAGATAACCGATATATAAATCTCATGTGAAACATTCACAACTTTCCCTTTCCTAATAGCACAGATCTGTGGATACATATTTGTGGTTATCGAAACTTATATTTCCCATTGGTTTCACAAGAAACATTCACTCTGTATAATTTTTTTTTTTTTAAAGGAACATTCGCTACCGAATGTAGGGAAGCTTTGTATTCGTGAGGCAGATTAAAAGAAAAAATGTGCTCAGATTTGAAAATTTCCACTCATGTTTTGCGTTTCTGACATGAAGGAATGAATTTGATTCCGTGTCTGTCCCTAGTCCAATCCATGTTACGGGCACATAAGCTACTACCGTCGATTCGATTCTTACTGTCCCATATGACTGATAACGAAATGTACATAAGAGAACTTCTTCAGATCCCCCAGAAATGATGTTGTTTACTTATGTTATTTTATAAATCCCTGGATAATAGAAATATTTTCATTTCATTTCATATAAGTTTCATCTAATTCCTTTCGCCAGCGGATGCGCAAACGTACGCCTATTTATCAAAAATGGACGAATACATTATTTTATATCCTTATGGGTTAAAAAATGTCAAATGGAATTAGATTTGAATTCATCCCTTGAGAACTTCACAAACATTCTAAAAAATAAGACTTGAAGAATCATTCCCTGTGCACTACTTTCATGATCCTAGTAAAAGCTGATCAAATGCCAACAAACTTTCTCAATAGAAGAGAAAGTATTTTAAAAATAGAGGGAAAACAAAACATAGAATTTCATGATATTCTGTAAAATGACAAATATGATTGCCGAACTATGGGACGAATCCAATTTTTTTTGAGAAATGGACGAGTTTATTAAAAATAATCTGTTATACAATTATTTAAAGTGCCTATTACATATCCTAGGAAATATTTATATTACTTATTCTTTAGGGTGGAAGAAATCTTGTATTAATAATAATAATCTTCTCAGACCGGATTGTTCCAGACCAAGTGGAGCTATAGGTCGATAGTCCAATTACTGTATACAGAGTGTCCGGTAAGTAGAGAGAAATATAAAAAAGGTCGATAGTTGACATCAATATCTGCAAAAAAGTTCATATAAACATTGCCAAATTTCCAGCAGGAAAGTAGAAAATTTGATATTTGTGTTTTTTAAAGAGAGTCTCGTTTTTTGTTGTATAGGATACTTAGGAATAGCGAATACTTTTAAAATATTTGATTTAAGCAACTAAAGATTGCTCAATGGTAAACTAGACAAAATTTGCTTTTAACGAAAGTAGATTTTGTCATTGTTACAACTATTTAAAGAGGACTATTGAGTGGACAGACATTAACAGTTCCGTTTAAAACCAAATCGTAATTATTTATGATTTTTTTTTTTTTTATCATCCTTCAACTGCACTACAATGATCCCACTTTTAGAAAAAAATCCTCGTTTAAGTGCGTATTAATTAAGTTAGAGTTGATTAGGAAAAAATTTGAGATTCATATCAAGTTGTGTGAAAAAATTATGTGATTTCCTATCCAGTCACCTAAAAGTACAGTATACAGTACGTGTGTTTTAAGCAAAAATGACTACAATTAACTGTTGCAAAGCTTTTATTTCTTGTTTTTCTGGGGTGTGGGATGTATTGTCATAAACATATTGGCCTAAAAACACTTTTTATTTATAAAATTAAAAATAATGATTTTTCATGTAAGGTGATTATGAAATTATGTTTTTCTCACAAACTTTTGTCATAGGAATCGTTGCGTATTTATAAGTGACAAATGTTTATAGCCCTAATACTTATGTTTTCATAAAAATAATTGAAGCGATCAGTAGGTTTCTTTATTTTATATTATAAATTTTAGATAGAAACATTAAGTTTGTCACTGATAAATTCTTATTAATCCCTATGACGGAGATTTGAGAGAAAAACACGATTTCATAAACACTTTACGTGAAATATATTTGAAAAATGATTATTTAAAGTTTTTTTATATTTATAAATACAATCAATGTGTTTTTTTTTTAAGGAAATAATGATTATTAAAATACATCCAATATCATGGGAAAACAAGAAATAAAAACTTTGCCATAGTTAATTGTAGTATTTTTTTCTGAAAACACGGGTACTTTTAGGTGACTGGATAGGAAATCACATAATTTCTTTACACTAGTTGAGGTGAATCTCAAAATTGTAATAAACTTCAAGTTAAATAATATGGGTTTAAAGCTTATTTAATAAATAGTTTTTAAAATATTTTCCAAATATCGGATTCGGAAAAAATATTGAGAAAAAACTGAGGACATTGGTTTTGTTAATATGATAAACGGAATGAATCAACAGAATATGCACTTTAAGAAATACCTCATCTTTAACAACTTTGAAAGATTTTTGTTCTCTACTCGAGTAAGAACGTTTTACATTTATAATGAATAATGAATGACAGTTTAGTCGAGCCTTCTACAAAACTGACGTCCAAGGCACAAATAAATTACGCGATAGTCTGTCGAAAATTATGGACCAGTTGATTATCCCAGTAGTTTTTCAATCCATCCTGAACGCCGAAACAAAATTTAAATTGACTCAATAAACGCTTTTCTTTCCGAATTTATAAACGATTTCAATGCATTTTAAAAATGCCAGAGTATGGATTAAATAGATGGGCCAATATTATAAATTTTTTTACAAGGTTATAAAACAAATCCCTAAGATTTCTTAAAAAACTGGATAACTAAATAGGCAAAGTTTCATCAATTCAGAAAACATTAGGAAAGAAAAGGGGATTGGGGTAGCTTAGTGGTAGAGTACTGAGCTTCCAATGCTGAAGGTCCCAGGTTTGAATCCTGGCTCATGCCAGAAATATAATTTATCCGGTTTCATTGGCCGTTATTTGTTATAACTGAAGGTGATTTCCTCTCCCTCATGAAAAAAGAAAACTACCCGTACTTCGAAGTGTTCGTGTACGGGTGGAAGACGACTGTGGGACCGGAACACTTTAACTTCGGAGCCCCTTGGTGAAGAGAGGAGACGGCAGAAGGAAATCCATAATGGACAAAATTTCTAAACATGTGGACTTCATTTGTAAAGTCTAAATTGCACAGGTAGCGTGCGTGATGGATATATTATTTATTACGCTACCTTCACCAAAACCCGTATTGTCCTAAGGGAAGGAAAGGTGTAAATAGAAAAAATAAAATAAAAAAGTTTCAGTGACCGTGCGACGACCCTGCTAAGGTAGATCCTGGGGCACACCTAGCCTCTTTAAAGTGGGTAACCTTATTTAAAATAATTAATTAAGAGGGGTAACCTGACGGTTGAGCGTGATCTCGGTCAAATCACCTCCTTGCACAACCGTACACCAAGAAACCGTGCTTTTCCTAAATAGTGCTGAGCCCAAGACCCTTCATGGGTTGCAATGGAACAGGATTTAGGAAAGAAAAGGAAACGATTACGTACATAAATATAGACTAGAGGCAACACATCTCTATCGATTGTCGAAAGAGACCAACTAGAGATATATTCATCACTCCAAGGCGATTCAATATATTTTTTGTCATAAACTAACTTAATTAACTTGTTCTCTTAAATTATTATTATTATTATTATATTATAATTTACTTAGTTATTTAACAAATTTTTGACAGACGAAGAGTCTCCTAGTCTTTTCATGCCCAGATGTTGCTGACCGACGACGAGTTGATTCATTGCACTCGCATTACAAAATGATAACCGGCAACATGGCATAGTCTTTTTTTTAAATTGTGGTTCAACAAAATTTTAATACGTTCATGAAGGTTCATTCCTTTTTAAAAAATCATCAACCCTAACCTATAAAATTCGTTCAATAAAATAAGTATATCGTCGATACAAATGCTAACTATTGGATATAAAAATAAAAATCAATCCTGCGCTCTAGCGATTGTAATTGTGATTAAACATTTTTAAAGAACGAATCCAAAATATTCAAATATTCATAAAAACACATATTAGTGTGGAAATTAAAATCCCCTCATTTTTTGGGCTGCATCGATAATTACATTAGACTGGTGATTTTTAGATTCGATAGTTAGCATCCGTATCGACGATATAATAACTCCAAAAATATAAATTTTGAAAGTAATTATATAAATACTCGAATCCGCAGAATTAACTAATGTATATTCAAAGCGACGCGATGTCGAAAACACACTGCAAAGCAGTACAGTTAATTATATCAAGTAAACTCGTTTTAGAATTTAGATTTCCTGTATGGGCTAACACACTCCCCCAACAGCCTAAGAAAATTTACTCGCTTGACAAGTTGGAGCAAACCAGTATACACGGAATCTTAAGATGGACCAGGCACAAACTGCATATTTTCCTGTATTAGTTAAGCACACATATCTTTGAGAGTTAAATTTTATCTGCAGTTCCACAGAATAAATCTCAAACTTCAAAATTAAAAGTATAGACAAAGCAAACATAAAAGTTATTATCAGCTCCAATAATCCATTACATTTTAAATCATAAACAATGACAATGGCAATACAGTAACAACGCTAAAGCAAACTACTATAATTTTCTTTTTATTTTAATTAGATGTTACTAAATAAAAATGTTTTGTTACCCTGAAATAATAAATATGAGTTTTCTTTAATTCAGGGTTTTGTTCTTGTTAGTTATTTTATTTTTTTAAATGAAAACTTAAGTTACGCTTGGCAACTTTTTTGTGGGTAGTGAATGAGATTGAGCCGACTCGCTATGTAACGCTCAATGGGGTTAAGCTGGCTGGAGTCGACTAGTTTTTGTATTTGGATTAAATGTCTCTGAAACTAATAATCGGACCTGCGTACTGTGAGCGAGGGAAATTTTCTACGTTTCATCTTCTTAGTAATGAGCCATTATTCAAAATTATACGTTGACGTGAAGAAAAAAAAATTATGACGTGTTTTGTTGATAATTTATATTAAAATATTTTAAATACTAAAATTCGGACCTGCATAAAAAACAAATAATAACGACCGTTTTGATTTGGATTTGTCGAATGATCCAAATGAAAAGCACAAATAAATATAGAACAATCATTAACGGAGCTTTTGTTAGGTATTTAGCAAATAGATTTCAATCGAAAAGATTTATATCATATTTTAGTTATCATTAAAAAATTATTTAATTTTTAGAGTATGATACAAATGACGATCAGTCAGAGAAAAGTTTACTTGATTAATTTATACACAGTCATAATTGTATATATTGGGGCAGTATAGCTCTTCAATGGAAGTCCTGGGCTAACAAATAAAAATGAATTGTATAAATTGTAAATTTTATTATTTTGTGAATATAGAAAAATAAAAAGATTATATTTGATATTATCAATACCGGCTTGTTGATGTTTTTAGTTTATCGTGTGGTCTTATTTGGTTTCTTTATTAGGGAGGTTTATTAAGAACGAACAATACTGTTCTCTGTATTTCATGTTTTTAATTAATCAACAATTTTCCCAATATGCTATGCAACTGCTACTATGATCAAATAATTTTCTTTCTTAAAATTAACGTTGGAAGTTTAATCCTTGGGAAAATTTTCTGAAGAATTGAAAGCGGTCTCAGTAGCTTTAAAACAATAGTATTCGTTCTCCGATACAGTTCTCTTTTTTAAAACAAAGCCTTTTTATTGAGACAAGGAAATATAATTTCAATTTTATAGTCATTGTTGTGTATGCTTCAACGCTTCAGAAGGTATAATAACATAAAATGTTTCGTAAACCACCTCAATAAATCATGGCATTCATGAGTTTTTAACAAAAACAAAGATGAAGTTTTAACAAATAGTATTGATCTTTATACGAACGACGGATGATAGAAAGAGATAATCCTCCATCAGTCACTCTAGGAGAGTGGAAATAAGCCCTTTTTCCTCAACTCACAGGGTGTTATAATTTCTATGGAAAGAAGTATTACAAAGGGACTTTCAGGAGTCCTAATACTGTACTGCTGTACTATTTAATTATTTTATTTTATTTTCCTCCCTACCCTGCCTTTAAGACAATACGGGAGTTTGCAGCAGTGACGTGATACACATTGCATAACAAATCACTGTGGCAAGTTTATCTTTTTACATTTTTACATTGCTGTGCACACAGCCTGCTTCATAATTTTGTTTCTTATTTTATCGCCCTCCATCTTCTCCTCCTGTCCTAATCAGCGGCCTTTCTGGTACTGCTTCTTCACGCCTACCCAGGGAGAAGTGGTTTGGGCCCACAGCTTTTATTCCACCCGCATACAAAACTTTTAAAGTGCTTTTTTAGTTTTGTTCAGACACCAGTTGGGGTAATTGTCTTTCTGTTAGAACGTAAAGCCCTGTATCCCTCATGAATTTGGCCCTCAATGCCTCATAGATGGTGCAGGCTACAAGGGTGTGCTCAGCGGTTTCAGGTACTCCACAAGTGGGGCATAAGGGATCGATATTTTTACCGTGTTTAAAAAGTTTCGCTTTGAAACCCCCATGTCCCGTGAGGATCTGGGAGACCCAGTAAGCGCGATTCAATGGTGGGAAAGAATTTTCTTAGTGTGGACCCGTTTGGGGTTGTCACCCATCGCCGATTCCATTGTTCCAATGTATCCTCCCGGAGGATCATCTTCCATCTTCTGGGGTCTTCACAAATCCTCTCCCGAATGTTTGCTGCTAAATCCGCCAAGCCATCCCTCTTAATGTTGTGCCGATAAAGGTCTTGCCGCAGGAGGAGGTCGTGAGGAATACCTCCCCCTAAGACCTGCAACGCCTCATGGGACACAGTTCTGTATGACCTGGTTACTCTAAGCAGGACCATCCGGTTCCATGCAGGGGACGTGAAACTCAGGATACCAACAACTGCTCCTTTATAAATGGACATAGTTGCTGGATATCTAAGGCCCCAAAAGGCTCCCCCTATGCGACTGAGACCATTAAGGGCTAAGACTACCTATTTCTTAAATAATCCAAGTGAGGCATCACGTTGAATTTTTTCCCAATCCTAATTCTAAGATAGGTGACTACCTTTTGGACATATTCTTGAACCTTGTATCACCAAGGTTATGTGGTGTGCCCTATCGGTCGTATCTCTCAAGAGGATGGCCTGAGTCTTGGAACCCGCCATCCTTGAATTCTTTCTCTCTCACCATTCTTCTACAAGGTTGGTACAATATCTGGCCCTGCTATTCGAGACCACAACAACAGCCAGGTCATCTACATATGCAGTTGCGGGGAACCGCTCCTGTTCTAGCACTTCCAGCAACTCGTCAAAGACCAGTTTCCAAGGACAGAGCCTTGTGGACAACCCGAACAGTGGAAGGGCCGCTGTACTGTGGCATACGAATCTGGAATACCGAGATTTGTTGCTAATGGATGGGTGCTGTTACAGCAGCAGTACAGCAGTCATATTAGACTTCCTCAAAGTTACTTTTATCAGTGACTTTAGTAAAGCTAATCACTGTCTTCTTAAAGAAAATTTTACCTACTTTACGATGGTGTGCTTAGAATTTAATTATCTTCAATAGTTTCTTAGCGATTTATTCTTATTTATTAAAAAACGTGATTACCTTAAGGAAGACATAAAATTGGCCATAACTCCTGTTCTGTTCGGAATCGGCTCATGCATCAAATGAACTTTTTTGTTGGAAATTTTGTCTAGAATCACCTTCTAGAGTTTGGCCAAGAACTGAGACACCCTGCATAACAAAATATTTTAAAGATATAAATATTTTAAATGTACCTGTGAATATCAGCTTGAGCTTCCATTTCGACAGCTATCCTATGCCAGGCTGTGTTGACGGTACCAACTCCATCCTTTGTGGCTTTCAGTAGTTTTCCTGACAATTTTACCAGTGTCTTGCCATACTGAGCCTCAGCTTCCGACCTGTGCGAATAAGAAATAAATTAGGATGTAGCTATTTTGATTCTATTTCAGTTCATTGAATAATTCATTAAGACTTATTATAAGTAAATGTAAGGAGATTTACTTATAATGAGTATATATGTATGAATGTGGAATATCAAACAGGCAACAAGATTTTAGTATAGTGTAATTTTAATATTTACACTTACACTTTTTTTTTCGGTGCAAACTGTAAGTGGTATCTATACTTTATTATGAGTTACATAACCCGTGGAATTCTGTTGGGTAATATCTGAAAAGTTAGATCATAATTTTTTCCCCGAATAATAACAGTATTTACCTACTCCAGCCAAAACCTTTTTGAAATTTGATATAAAACACTCTACAATAAATACTTTTGTTTTTTTTGACCAGCTCCACTAGAATACACTTATGCTCTAAAAGCTAATATAATGGAATGTCTAAAGTCCATTAGACAATATCAAAAGTTTTTTTTCTATATAACCATATTTTAAAAAAATAGTACAAAATTATTAATACAATTTTAACGTTTATGGTTAAATGTTTCACTGTACCATTTTTTCTATATTCGTCATATTGCTCCCACTGAACAAAATGTGGCGTTGAGGCTGTGCTTTATCTCAAAACTAGAACAATCTTCCTACATGCCTTTTACTTCCGAGAAGTTTTAATTTTCCAAAACGTCCTTCGATGTATTCCAGCGAAAATTTCATAGAAAAAATAAAATAAGAAAGAATAATTGTTGGCCTTACATCTGCTTCGTTGGGTGCCTATATCCATCTTGCTTTATGGATGTATCTGGACGAAGTAATTCTGAAACGTCTTACATAAGGTGAATTCCATCAACCGTAGCCTTACCGGCTAGACCAAC